TCCTCTCCCATCTTTGCTTGGCTTTAGTTTAGTCCATGTCTCGGTTGATTTTCAGTTGTGCAATACTTTCTCCATCTCCAGTGACGAGTTTAAACAGAAATTTTTAAGATGTTCAAAGTTTTCTATATTTTTAATGAACTAACTCAGTTTTAAAATACCCTACAGATCTACCCCTGACTTGTCTGATACATCCCTTCATCTTTATGATGTTTATCTACTAATATTCTCTACAAAATATCTGCAACAATAATAGGATCTAGAATGAGAAATCTGATATCCAACCAGATTAAATTTTTTCATAGAATAATTTTGTTTTTTTAAGGAAGCTACTCCACATAGATATACATCTGTTTGCCACAGATACACAAACCAAGGACCAGCAGTTAGGAGAAGACTGACAATGTCAGTGTTCAGTAATTGGCTCTGAACTGCAGCTTCAGCAAAAGTCTGTGTCCTGTCGGAGACCTGTCAGTATTTGCAGCACCTTTTTACTGTCACATATTGCAGCTGTTCCAGCAACCACTTCTGCTACAACTAATAATACTTCTGTCAGAGCAAAGGGGACAGAAATGGCTAGTCGTTTCCTGCATGGAAATACTTGACTGCATGTTGAGAGGAGTGAGAAAAATAGTTATTCCTAGAGCAAAGCAGTGAAGTGAGTGTGAAAACAACACAAAACCAGGAGACTTTTAACACAGCAAGTAGTTGATTAGTACAGAATGTTAATCAAACAGCACAAAGAGCTTTTCATCTGACATCTAATGGTGTTACTGCATGAAGAGATGCAAAAACAGAGGGAATTTCCAATTTTAGATGACCTGTGATGTGAGCAAAACTCATTTGCTTTTAGCTTTCCAGCTCATAAGTTAGCAAATAGAATAAGCACTTCTCTCTGCTTGTGTCCTCTGAAAGAAAATTGTCAAGTTGGATTATCTTGTGAAACAGTCCTGAGTGTTTCTCTGCAGCTTTTTTAATGCCATCCCATCAACACAACAAACTATTTCACGTAATGACTATTTTGAACAGACACTGGATGAATGAAGCTACCCGCTAAAACACAAAAAAACAAAGAAAATAGAGCCACATATGGAGTATCAAGATGTGACTATATATATATATATATATATATATATATATATATATATATATATATATATATATATATATATATATATATATATATATATATATATATATATATACACACACACACACACACATATATACACATATATAAAATGTGGCCTTGATAATCAAAGTCCCTGAAATTTGTTAAAATATGATGTCAACAAATAGGGGAAGCAAAACTAAAGCTCTTTAAACTTAACCAAAGTTTAAAGACAGTCAGCTTTCAGTTTGACCACACGTATCTAATCACACTGATTGAAATTTAAGACACCATAGATAAGACCACAAATGTGTTGAAAATAGGGTTGATTCATGTTGTTACACTCAGCAGTAATCAAGATTTTATTAGCAGGAGCGACTCAAGAGAATATTTAAAAGGATGTCCTGATGGAACCATGTGCACTTTTAGGCTGTTTATTATTACTGAGAAATTTTTATAAAAGAGCAAAAAAATCACATGAAGACTAAATGATTACTATTTGTGGTGAAAAGGAAAAAATATGTGATGCCCCATGACTATAGTAGGAACAAGTCGGGAGAGCAGAGAAAAAGAGTGATTCTTTTTTTAATGCAATATGTGTAGGTTGAAGATTCAAACTTATTCTATTTTTGAGTAGTTGAGTAAAATCTCAACCTAAAGTATCTGCATATTTGGAGTAATCAAACCAATACATTCCATGCCTTTAAGTAGGAACATAGCTGAATATTTTATTCCTGATTGGACCGCCCGACCAACCTCTTCAGAGTTTATAATACATAGAAACTAGAGTTGTCCCGATACTAAACTTTTCAACTCGATACCGATACTAAGGAAAATATTCAATACTCGATACCATTTTCGATACCACAAGGATAAAAACAAAAACTCCAAAATTCTACAGAAATATTTTCATGAATAAATAAAATGAAATAAATAAATACAATAAACAATAAGAACAATATTTTGAGGTTGTATGCTGTGCAAAATATTAAGCAAGCTTGATAAAAAAACTTATAAAATTAAAATTTTGTGTTCCTTCCTTGGCTGTGCTTTGCACACATAACAATGACACTAGCCAAACCGGTTAAGAAACAAAAATAATTCTCAGCAGCTGCACCTACTACAAAAAAAAAAAAAAGTCTGAAACTGAATAGTGCAGAGAATTATTCAATCACACAGCGTTCTGAAAGTGCATTGTCCTCTATTCTGCACTTTAGATGACTGACTGCTTAGGTGCCACTGGTGGTTGCACTGTATCGATACTTTTAAAAACGAGTATTGTATCCGGATACAACATTTCAGTATCCATACTTTTTTGAGTATCGATACTTTTGACAACCATAATAGAAACCCATTGCTTTATTACAAAATGCTCTTTATATTTATGTGATGTAACAGAAGGTGTTTCGGATGTGTGAGGAAAAGCAAAGGGAATAAATAATCACGGTTGTGAAGTTCACACTGCTCTAAAAGGACTCAAGCGACCTGGATCAGAGTTGAATGAAAATGGCAGAGCTCTGAACAGTCCAACGCTACACAAGGAAACAGAGGGAGGACTCTGGAAGCTAACAGTGGGACATCCATTGAGAACCTGATACTGAAAAAAAGCCTGAAACATATTTGTAGAAAAAAGGAAAGATCAGGGGCGGTTCTAGCCATTAAAGTTCCTGAGCAAAAATGCTGTTTGTTGCCTCCTATTCAAACGGCTGTCTTACAGCATATTGTACAGTGTACAATATGCAACACTGTCATTTTAGGGTACAGTTGACATTTATGAGTTTTGTAAATGTAGTTTTTAAGTTTTACACTTTGCACTTGTAACAATGAGCCATTGTTAATTGTATATTGGCCATAGTAGCAGCTAAACACAGGATCTGGTTTTCTACATTGGTTTATATTTGTTTGGGTTTTGGTTCTTTGGTTGACCACATCTTGTTTTTATTTTTGTAAAAAGGTAAATTGATTTCACTTTAATATATATATATTTTTTTTGTTTATTTATAAAAGGGACATTAAAGATTTAAAATATTTTGAAATACTCACCTCTGCTGTTTCACTCTCCAAGCAGGTGTGTACAGGACTGTACCATTAGATAATTGAAGAGAGGGGAGGTTGATCTGATGTATGGTATTTTCTTTATTGAGTTTGAGTATTTGTTTGGATTGAATTAATATATTTGTTTCTGTATTTATTGGTATAAGTATTTCTTAAGTAGTTGTTTGTTTAAACCAAAATTTCCTTTTCTTCTTATTGTGAAGCTGAACAGTCTTTTTAAAAATGGTTTCTTCCAATTTAGTTCCTCCTCTATTTAAGAAACATGTCTGCCATTGTTCTTGGTTGGTGTGGTTTGGTTGATGTCCTGCACAAGAAGAAATTAAAATTTTGTCTGCTGAAAACTCTACAAAGCATGTTCTTCTTTCAACCAGTTTGGGTCCCACCTCCAAGACTGCTTGGCCTCCTGACAAGCATGTGACAGCACTTTTTCTGTGTCACCTTTTAAGATGTTCAAAAATTATGTAATACATTGCTGTAAATTTACTAAGTGAATCTCAGTAAACCTTGTCAACACTTTTTCCCATAAAATACTGTGTAATAGTCATATCTTATTTGATTATTTGTTGATTTCATGAGTTTAAATTGGAACGCTGATTCTCCACTCATCTGGATCTGTAACTCAACACGGCTCCAACTGGACTTCTTTTTTGTTTTACTGTGGCCAGTCACATTTAAAGATTTATGAGTACATGGCAAGTTGCACTGCAAATATAGCAAATATATAGGGTCGAATTGCCTTTCAGACTGTATAACTTGTTTAGAATGTTTTGGGTACCTTTACAGAAGCTTCTGCCCGAGTTTTCTCCCATTCCCTCCAGACAGAACTGGGTTAACTAAATAAGGAATGCACTGTAAGCCATTTTGCCCATGCAACATTTAGGTTCTGCTCAAAAATGTTCTATTAGATCAAGGCTGTTGTAGAGCTGCTGTGTGCTTAGCTTCAGATATACAGAAAGTTCATACTTCACATGCTAAACACACAGGTGTCATACAGTGTTTCTACTACAACAAAAGTACAACAATCCTTTCTTACAAATAGCTTCCCAGTGATCAACTAGCAATTAAACCTGGCTGTTAACTCTTAAAATCAGGTTTAAAATCTTGAATCTGGTATAAATAAGGTGTTACTGAGAACTGAGCTTGGAGGCAACACACAGGTGGGGTGCATTGGGACTTTAATAGCAATTCCCTTTGTAATATATCAAGGTATTCTAATAAAATTGTTTTTGTATCAGTGGGAGAGGAGGTGTAATTTGCTCAACCCTTTTCTAACAAAATTAAACATATGAATAACGATAGTGTTTGCTACAGACTAACTCTACCAAGGATGCCTCATATATGATGAATTGAGAATCAATGTTTAACCCATCTTTTTAATCAAAAGCAGTATATTGTGAACTTGTGAAACACTGAGTAAACCCAATGGTGACAGACAGAACAATTTCACTTACTAATCAATACCACAACGCTAATGTAAAAGACTTGTGTTTCTGAACGGTTTCATTTTATCTCATCGCATGACGGAAAAATCTGATATGCATTTCTGAGAGATAAGAACGTATTAGTTTGGCTTTCACACACTTTAGTCCTTAAAAAAATCCATTATTATACAGAAATGTACGATTTAGGCAAACAGAACAATGATTAATCCATCATACAAAATATAAAGAGAAAAAAACGTGTATAAGGTCTTTGAAAAAAGATGTTCTCAGGGATATGACCAAAAAAAGAAAACAAATAAAACTAATTATAATGAAAACTTTACTCTGTTGGTTCAGTCTTAATGTTATACATCAGGAGATAGAACTACTAAAAGGCTAAAATTTGGCAATCTTACCTTCATCAGTACTGACTCGCTTAGCTTCTCGCGGTTGACAATCTTTATGGCAACCTTTTGGCATGTTACACAGTGCACTCCAAGCTTTACCAATCCTGCAAAGAATAAAGACAAAGGACATCAGGTCACAAAGGTGAAATGCTAAATTAGAAGTTAGCTCCTCAAGAGTATGGAACTAATGAACAAACTGATCCTTTTTCTAAATCCTGTGAAGAATGTTCCTCGGTTAGTAAGAACGGCTAATCTATAAACCAGCAGATTAAGTGGAAATTTAGGAACAGTACATTAATGATATTGCTAAAACAAATTATGTGAATTGACCGTAGACATGTAAAATGGCTTGTGAACTAATGCTCAAATAACCATAAGGACTTTTGGAGTGAACACAGTTATTTAAATAAACTACACTGGTGGGGTTTATTTGAGTCATAAAGGCAGTGAGTCAATGTTTATTGTTTATTGATTCCTCCAAGGTACCAAACAGAAGGAAAACAATTGTAGTCTAAAGTGAGAAAAAAAACAGCTTTAAAAAGTAATGGCAATGTTCTAAACAGAGCTTATTATTGCCTATTACTCTAAAATAAGACTGCATTAAGCAAAGTGAATAACCATCTTTTAAGTTGTTAAAGACATTCTTATTTCAAACGGTATGAAAATACATTTGAGTGTTGGTGTTCCACTGGGATTCCTTGAACAAATAGTCCATCAAAGCCTGTGGTTTGCTTCATAACAAAAACACGTTAGCTGTTCTGTTTTACGCATTGTCCCCAGATATCTCAGTAAAACGATCAGTCACAAACAGTGAAGAAAACAGGCAGGGATGCTGCAATGAGCACAGTTTCACCATCATAAAACAGTGCGTGCATTTGATACAAGAGGAGTCATGAAAACAACTCAAATTGATGCTGATGAAGGTTCTCAGTCATCCAGGTCATAGTCATTCCGTAAAAATTCAAAAAATATCCACTGGACTTGGTTTTCAAGATTTGAAGACGTTTCGCCACCTCTCCAGGAAGCTTTCTCAATTCAAATGTCTGGATCCGCAGTGAGTTTGAGTCTTATACAGACAACGCCTTGTATCGCTTGGAAACATGCAATGGTAACCGATGAATGGGTCGTTAGTTCCATCGTTAGCCTGTAATATCTGAACCTGTCTATGATTCTAGGGGTCGGTCGTTAAAGGGGGGATTGCCATTAAGGGGGGGGATTGTCTCCTGTAATACCTGAAACCTGTCTATGATCCACCACCTCTGTTTAAAGTTTAAACTTTAAACAGAGGTGGTGGACTCAGATTCCAGCTTCCAAAAACATACAATTCAATCATAGACATGATCCCTTCCAGATATTACCAAACCCCCCACCCCATCACAGAGGAACGAGGGACTCACCCGCCCCAGCCGGTGAACAATACCTCCTTAACGACCAACCCTTAACAATCATAGACAGGTTTCAGGTATTACAGGAGACAATCCCCCCCTTAATGGCAATCCCCCCTTTAACGACCGACCCCTAGAATCATAGACAGGTTCAGATATTACAGGCTAACGATGGAACTAACGACCCATTCATCGGTTACCATTGCATGTTTCCAAGCGATACAAGGCGTTGTCTGTATAAGACTCAAACTCACTGCGGATCCAGACATTTGAATTGAGAAAGCTTCCTGGAGAGGTGGCGAAACGTCTTCAAATCTTGAAAACCAAGTCCAGTGGATATTTTTTGAATTTTTACGGAACTCAAATTGATTTTCTGCAGGGACCACACAGTCACATACACATTTCAATGATTTAATCAGATATGTTTTTTTACAAACTGAAACAAATGCAACCACATAAAACACGTCGGTTCATGATTTTGATAGATTACCCTATAGTGCTCATTTTTTTATCCCACTTTTCCTTTTTGTATCCAGAGCCGAGAGTATTGAACTGAGGTCTGACACTCATTTCTATCAAAAAGAATCTGAGGCAGCACCTTCATTTGTAATTAAAGTTACTATTAAGCAGCTTTTCCCCAAACACTAAATTCTACTTCCAATCTAAAGTATTCCTTTCATTTTAGATATAAAACACAATGTCACAACAGAGGTTTTCCAATCCAAGGCAGGGTCCATTGCCTTATCATTTAATTAGACATACGAAACAGTATCATGTTGTAGGTCTTATAATTAAACACTGGAGTATGTTCTAGCGTGCTGCAGGGTATGAGCCTATTCCTATTTTACTCATTTCAACACATCACAATGGCTCTTACTAATACGTTGCACTTAATAACACAAAAAGTCTGCAAGTCAAGGTAAGTCAAGGTGTGGAAACATGTCATATCTAAGTGTACAGGGTTCACACCTAGTTTTTTTAAAGAGTGTAAAGGGGGTGAGAGGTGGGGAATTTGTGCTACACCTATCATCTGTGCTACACTTATATCATCTGTCTTTTTGCTATTTAAGCCCATAAATTCCATATTCTCTCCAACATGGAGAGAATATTAACATAAGAAACATCAGACTGACGAGAAGTTGCTCCAATTCACTTGCAGCCACTGTAAGGCGGCAATGCACTGTCATAGCATGGCCGTGCTTTTCTTGGTAGATGAAAAACCTTCAGACCATTGGTTGTTTAGGCCTAAAAGACCGGCTGTTTTGGAATCCTCCACAAACATGATTACCTCACCCCTTCTTTAAAAGCTGGCTCTCTGTCTGCAGGCTAGGTGTTAGCGGATGTTGTCTCTTGCATGGAATTGCCCTGGGTCAATGAAAGAGTCCTAGGATTTATGTTTTCACAGCACTTGTCTTACGGTTATGGGCAAATCTGTTTAAAAATCCATCCATCCATCTATTTTCAGTCACGCTTTTCCCAAGCGGGGTTACGAGGGGTGCTGGTGCCTATCTCCAGCTGTCTACGGGTGAGAGGCGGTGTACACCCTGGACAGGTCTCCAGTCCATTGCAGGGCAGCACAAAGACAAACAGGACAAACAACCATTTACACTCACACTCAGACTTAAGGAGAATTTAGAGAAGCCAATTAACCTAACAGTCCTGTTTTCGGACAGTAAGAGGAAGCCGGAGTACCTTGAGAGAACCCACGCATGCTCAGGAGAACATGCAAAATTCAAACAGAAAGACCCCAGGCCGGGAATCGAACCCCGAACCTTCTTGCTACAAGACGTCAGCTACCCCCTGCCCAAACTAAGCAACCTATGTGTTTGAAAATCATATCAGCCTAATTTCATTGGATTTTTAAAAATCTCAGCTTAAACCGGGGTTTGTGGTAAAATGCGCTCAACAGAGCCTTGAGGGAGAGAGCTCAGATGTTAGGCCATTACAATAAAGAAATTAGTGTTGAAAAAGTGCTGAATTTTATTGTGAACTGTGGCGAGAACCCTCATTTATTAATCAGGCTAAAAGGCTAAACATGCTTAAGCATTAAACAACAGAACTTGAGCTTCCTAAACAAGTTTGGATACCAACTAGTTATCCACTTCATATTCAGCTTGGTCAACTCCCAGTTTTACAAAACTCTGGAAAATAAAATAGGGAACCATATATACAGTGTGAAACAGCGTTTTGTTCTTAAGAATTAGTGAATTCACGGCCACAAAATACATCCTCATTCAGTGGCTGGGTAGAACAAATAAATGGCATGGGTATCATTTGTTACTACTGTTGACTATATATAATACTAACTCTCAAAATATATATATAATGTAGGCAAAAAAAAAAAAATCCTAATTCATGCTTACAGGGCACTTATTTGTAATATATAATATATATATATGACAGCAGCACCAGATTTAGCTGAGAGGTGCAGATTAATGAGGCTGTAGCCTAAACTTGTGCTGACGATGCTACCAGCCACATGCACAAACTCATTTTTCTCCTACAGAAAAAGTCAGTTTGCGCCTTCAATCACAACTGGAACATTTTTAAGGTCTTGAAAACATTTGGGGTTTAGCCTAACCCTCTTTTCCTCAAGTCCCCTCTTAAAAACTGCATTTTATAGTCTGTGATGATGCTTTTCCCCCCACTACGTTCATATCTTGTGCAATGCAGCATTGACTAGATTTTATCCTAAAACCATCTGCTGATTGGTCCATCACCATTTAACTGGTGATTTCGATTCTCCAATACCAGAATAATTTGCTAAGTTATTGCTAAGTTCAAAAACTTCACAGCTCAAATGGAGGTTTTACTAAAAACAAAAACTGCTTTAATGTTTTATAATAATGAAGGATTGGCTTTTTCCAACTTTGTCAAGGTTTGATTTTTTTTCCCATTCATATAATTTCCATTTATGGAAAAATAGTTACAATAATTAGGCTGTTTCGTTAAACATGTATTAAGGCTTAAGTAGCCAATGAAGACTCTTCTATTCATTTTCATATAACCAATAGGTAAACTCAAAACTACAAAAGATTTCTAGCTATGTTATTTACAGGTGTAAAAAGTGACAAGAGTCTTTTCTTGTCTCAAAGGAGAAAGCAAAGCATGGAGTAATGTCCAGAAGTTTTTTCTGACGTGTCACAAACGTCAGCAAAAAATATAGCATAATGATGAAAAACGCAGCAGTAGAAAAGAGGTTAAAATTAGAAGGAATAAAAAATAATAGCGAGTAAAAACAAATGTTATAGAGATTAAGAGATTGCACATTATTCACATGGCAGGCCACGGATAATGAAGGGGAGCATCGTGTGGGAGTAAGGCTTCAGTCTGGGATGCTCTAGAGCTGCAGGGCAGAACATGGAGTCACACAAAGCAGAGAAAGAAAACGTAAATGACAGAGAAACAGGAAGGAAACGGTAGACATTAAAGATGTAAAAAAAAAAGAATTTAGAAAGGAAAAAAACAGACAAAGCCATTAGCTTTGAGATGATAATCATATGTTAATGACCAGTATAGAGAAGCTCATGAGTCATGATAAACACATTAAAGGGAAAATATGTCTGCAAATGCCTGAAAAGTTAACAGGATTATTTGCCTCTCTATCCATCTTTCTACAGAGGCAGCAATGTTTAAGCAGAGGGCACATTAAGTAGAAAAAAATGTGCACCAGGAACAAAACACATTATGATTTTACAATAACTTTGTAAACTACAAGG